AAGCATAAGGCAGTTGGGGTTTGAGTTCAAACCCCAGCACCACAAAAAAAAAAAAAAAAAAGACAAATTTGGGATACTCAGGAGACTTTTCTAGACCATCTTCTTCCTTGTTTCCTTTAAATTCAAGAGATTAAAAACATTTGGTCTATTTCAAATGTTATATGAATATGCTTTGTCTCGTCCAAAACTCATGCTGAAATTTAATCCCCCATTATGATATATAAAGAGGTATGACCAAGTAGAACCTTTAAGAGGTATTTAGGATTTTCCTCTCATAAACAGATTAATCTATTCCTGCAATTAATGGGTTATCTCAAGGGTGAATCTTCTACAAAAGCCAATTTGACATGATCTCAACCCCGATCCCCATATCTCACCATGTGATACATTGCACCGCCTCGTGACTCTACCACAAGACACTGAGGTGTGGTCTGTCAATGTTAGACCTGAACTCAGAGCCAAAATTAATCTCATTATGCTTAGTTTATGGTTCTATGTTATTAGCAACAGAAAACAGACAAAAGCGTGTATGCACACATGATGACTCCACTTAAGCAGCACTAACTGAACTTCTTCATTATGAAGATTCAAGATGATTGCTACTCAGGTAATAAAATTCAATACACTACCATGATAATTCACAAGTTGAAGCTTTCATCTCAAACTACTGGGCAGGCATTATATATTATGAACTGGGCTCTTGTGCGACAAGAGGGTTGGGTTCAACCCTGTACCCAACTTTCCATTTTCCAGGTAACCATGGTCAGGTTGCTCATCCTAGATTCCAGCCTCCCAAACAAGGAACTAGCGGTAAAGGTAATTATCCCATAGAGTTGTGGAAACTACAGCAGATAATCTATCAACATATTCTGTGTGGTACTTGGATGCAAACTAGACATTTTTTATAAATATTACTTTTAATACATTCTGCCCTTTCTTTAAATACTGCAAGTCCAAAATTTAGCTTTAAATAAATAAATGTCTACTGACTATAGGAACAGACATTAGAATGCTAAATATTACAAACTAATAAAAAACCAAACTTTTAAAGCTATTCATCTTCAAACTATCACTCTCAAAGGTCAAACATCCTTATGTGAGACCTCTTTTTTTAAAAAGAAATCATGCAAAGATCATTTGAAGAAAAGCTTCTAATTAATCTACAAACGGAGAAATTCAGAGACTCCAAGCCTTCACTTTAAATATATAGGTAATTCAAATTAAAAAAAATACTGTTTGAAGAAAATTAAAATCAGAATTAATCAAAACTATTCATTCAAAGTGTGCAAACTTGTTATCTGAGGATAGATTTATGACCTCTTATGTTCATCTCCAAGAGTCATGCATTACTGTAACAATTTAAGGTAAGGATCTGTCATGAGACCAGGAAAACCATGAACTCCTTTGTTTCAATTCCATCCTACTGATGTGTGGACTGACCTTGAACCTTTCATAAGCTCCATTGAGTCTTTTTTCAAGCCAAGTCTTATTTGGAAACTCAGCTACATAAACAAAAGCAAAAGGGCTTCCTGGGCTCCAAGAGTCAGTTTGAAAACCACTGCTTCTGAAGACACAGCCCTAGTAATACCAGGAGCTGGGTTTCACCACTCTTTGGTATCAGTTTCCTTATTTATTTATAAAATACTTTGCTGTCTCTAACTTCCCTTCCAGCTCCAGTATCCTCTTATTCTACAAATACCACCAACAGTATAAATGGCTAAGATTTAAAGGCACTTAGTATATATTCCAGGCACTCTTTTATTTTCAGTCATTCTAAAACATTAAGTACTATTAATCTATTACAACTTTTGAGGAAACTGAGGCACAAGGATTATGTGATAGTAACCAGTAAAACATATTCATATATACTTTTTCTTACTTAATTTGTACCACAAAATTGAGAAGTAGGAACTGATATTTAGAAAGGTAGTTACTTAGCCAAGGGCAAAGAGCTGGGATTTAAACTATGCATCTGCCAGATTCCAAAATTCATTCATTTAACCCAGGTTGGATCCTATGTTGTACTACGAAATGTTTTAAAGGCCATTACTTATGTTTTGTTATTATGATGTTATTGATACAATTCATATTTTTATTTAGAATGCTTATCTCCCAAACAAGATTATGAAAGCCCTGAGCTCTGAGATCATGTTATACTTTTCTATTTCCTCCTCTACAAAATACAGGCTATGAATTATGCAGGTCTTTAGTCAATTACAAGTGATCTTCTGAGTCTGACTTTTTATTAACTGGACTTGTTTTCAAGTGTCTTATTTAAATATGTTATCCAAAGAAAATACATTAACTTTACATAGAACAACTCTTGGAATCAATATTTTTTCTCCAAGTCAAGTGCTGGGCAGTGGAAAACCATTTTTTCTCAGTTTAGTGATTTGACATTTGCCCTTAAAGTGGGGGAATTATATTATTTTACTGTCAATATTAATAATATTCCTTTCTGATAATTTCTTCTTTCTTGCCTTATTAATATGTCTTGCCATCATATTAATGAAAGGTAACAGGATGATAATAAGCAGATGGTTAAAGGCAAGAACAGAAAATCTTGGAAGGTGCTTACAATGCCTATCTGTGCCATTTCAAAACATAGGTTTGACATTTCACAGGAATTTATGCTTATTAAGTCATATTCCTTTAACACTTCAAAAATAACACCTACAAGTAATGTTTCTTTATTTTGGTGGGAGTAGGGTTTGAACTCAGGGTTTTGTGCTTACAAAGCAGTCACTCCATCACTTGAGCCATGCCTCCAGTCCCTTTTACTCTGGTTATTTTGGAGGTTGTATCTCTTAAACCATTTGCCTGGGCTGGCCTTGAACCATGATCCTCCCAAGTAGCTAGAATTACAGGCAGGAGCCACTACACCTGACTAATTTTTTTTTAAATATCATGTCAATCGTGGATGCTCAGTCTGTGGTTAGAGATACCATAATCCTCCAACCATGCCTCTTTTGCTCTCTAAGGCCAGTGCAAGTCTCCCAACCCATTCTCAGTGCCTATGGTTACACAAGCAGCACAACTAGAGTGGCAATTTCTCAGTGACCTACTTTAAGCATACTTTGAAGTTTGTAATAATCTGACATTCTTATAAATCTATATAGTGAATATATAACTAGTCTTAATAAGAGCTATGACTAAATTAGGGTTAAGACACATTTTGATCTCTAAACTTTTGACATAATAGCTCATCTAGTTGGGTGTGATAGTGTTCAACTGTAATCCCAGAACTCTGTGAGTTGGAGGTCAGCCTGGGCAACAGTGAATGCCAACCAACCCTGGTAACATGGCAAGACCCTGTCTCAAAAAAAAAAAAAAAATTAAAAGAAGGCTAGAGGTATGACTCAAGTGGTAGAATGCCTGCCTAGCAAGCATAAAGCTGAGTTCAACCCCAGTACCTCCAAAAAAAAAAAAAAAATGCAGACTAATACTTGAATTTTGGACTGAGGATATATCTTAGTGGTAAAGCACTTACTTAGAATGTAGAATGCACAAGGCCCTGGGTTAAAACAAATAAATAAAATAGTAATTTCATGAACACCTTCTACTGATATACACAGATATAAAGAACTTATAATCTGAACACATATTATCTTTTTAGTACTGCTTTTTTGGTCATAAACTAAAAAGATGGTTTTTCTTGAGGAAAAGGATCATGCTCTACATTTCCAAAAAATACTTCCCCTCAACCCCATCCCTTCTCTCAACACCTAGCTGAGTGTACAGTAAGCAAAACTACTGCTTTGTTCACCAGACTTCCAAGTAAAGCATAAGGATACAAAGTTAGCTGCTTCACCAAGAATGTTTTTATGTTTATTTACCTGTCTATTTTTTTCATTGCTGGGGATCAAACCCAGGCCTTTGTGCACACTAAACAAAGAATGCTTTTAAACCTTGACTGTCGGGGTGTCCTAAGAAATCTGCATAAATGGTGTCTGTCTGTCTCTCTCTTTCTCTCTCTCTCTCTCTGAGTGTGTTAGCTGTACTTTTCTAATTCTGTATTGAGGCTACTTCAACTACAAAATTAAACTTCTATTTTCAAGTTCTGTGATGAACCCTAAATAAAGCATTTAAACTAGGAATGTACATCAAAAGCAGGGAAGATACAGTCCCCTCCATTCCATATAGAATTACCTCAACGAGTATATTCTCCTTTCTTCTTTCAACATGACAAGTCTCATTTCTTCCCTATTCTAGCATCACCTATATTCTCTAGTCAATATACAAATAACTGAGAAACTATTTTGAACAAGAAATTTACAAAAATGCTTCTCAAACTTTGTTCATCTTGAAATCACACTATAGTCCAGATGAGTATGTACAATCTCGCCTAGGTCACGAGAATTGGGAAGAATGCACTTCAGATGGGTTATGCTCTCTGGTTTGAGTTTTAAAAGAAGCATGGAGAGAAGCTAGGCAGGAAGCTGGCAGTGACCATGGGGCACCAGTGCAAAATGGCTTTTGCTGAGGGAAGAGCTACAATGTGACAAATGTGGACATGAGTTTGTTCCACATTTAGGCAATAAATACTTCATTCACTGAGGGAGCAACCCCCTCCGCACACACATGTGACAGAAAGGGGAGATGGATACCTCAGATGTCCTGTTGTGAAGCCTATTAGAAGAATAGGAAGGTGTGTAGAGAGGACAGACCACAGAGAAGCCCACTCAGCAGACAATGGGGAGCGAGCTGGTGTGGCATATTTGCACACATCGACCTCTCCAGGGCCTTTCACTGCCTGTGACTGACGGACAAGACCAACAAAGAAACAAAGTCGCTGAAGTGGTGTATGATGGGTCAACTTTATTAACAAATTCTCTAAGCCATAAATATCTCCTTATCTACTCTCTAGAAACCCTTTAGAATAACCCCATGATTTCTTTCCTTGTCTTAGAAAAATACAAGTTTAGGACAGCAGAAACATAAGCCTCTAACCAACAATCACAACAAAGAGTTTCAGCTACTGAAAGGCATTCCCTACTTACCAATTTTGTGATGTCTTTTACATTATCAGTCACGGGATTCCCGCAGATCTCTTCAGTTTTGACGAGAGGATTGAAGAGGAGCAGTTGAAGATGAATGCAAGTGATAATCCAAGTCTAAACAAAAACAGAAACATTTCTTGGTGTCCATCAGTTAAAATCTATAATCATGCAAATTATTAACATCTTATGCCTTATGTGGAAAGAGCCAACCTACTATATTTCTATATGCTAAAGGATCAATCTACTCTCACCAAACTAGAAAAACAAAAACCAAAAAATAAAACTCCCAGTTAAAAATCTTGTTTGAATTACTCTTTCAATGACATTACTGTTAACTTGTGTTGAAAGCTTTCTATAGCCAATTTCCTAATGGCAATTAGGAATGAACTTGTAAGAACATGTGAAGGAATTATCACTTAGGATACCTTCTGAAAACTAGAGAATGTGTAAGATTCGTACCTTAAGGCACCAAAAGAAACCTCTCTCTATTTGGAGTGCAGGCTGTTTGGCAAGTAGCGGCATAACTCCTGAGTGGGGCTTTAATCTAATTGTCTGCAACAGCACACCAAGCTAAGGCTAGAAAATGAGGTGTATTTTTAGATCTAAAGCAGAATTTAACCTAATTTCTGAGGCAGCAAAAGAATTATTGTATGAAATCAGTTTTTGAGTCATTTAATAAGGAAAAATACTTTCTTAGCCAACAAGAAGATATTTTTGAACCTTAAGCAGGAAGAAATCACACACACATACACACACACCCCTCTCTGTGAAAAATAACACTCTCTACAATGAATTATAGTTATTTTTATGCATGTCTTATTTTTCCTTATTTGTGTATTTTTCAGAATTTTAAGAACCTAAACATCTGATTTAAATTTTCAGTATCTGTGTAACACACAAAAAAATGGTGCTTTGCATATAAAAAGCCCTTAATAAATATTTTCTGGATGAATTTATGGCCAAGGTAAAAATATAGTCTAATGGTATAGTCCAGCAACCACTCTGAACATGTACCATGAGACTGTGCCAGTCACCTGGGAAATGAAGATGATGAAGATGCCCTTGAAACTCAGAGACAAGAAAATAAATAATACCCACACCCTGTGATAAATGTTTTGGGAGCCCAGTGAAGAAAGTAACAATCAATTAATCTTAAAGGGGTGAACCTGTGGCAGGAAGGCAGCTCCAAGGAAAGTCAGAACAAATGTGACTCTTCCTGGATTTGGGGGGCCAAGGAGAAGTTCTCAAGCAATGATAATAACAATACTACTACTACTAATAATAATAACAATAACAATAATAACAAAAGGCCATTCCAGGAAAAATAAATAGCATTAGCAAAGACATGGAAATGTGAAGATATTTTAAAATATGCGAGAATTCTTTTATAAATTAACATTCATCTATGGCATTTTAAAAGTACACAAAAGCCAGGTGCACATGACTGAAATCTTTCTTACGCATGTAGCAAGCCATATGTTAAAAGGATCTGAATTATTATTTTTAATTAATATCTGCACACTAACTAGACATCATGTTGGAGCAGGTAATGACGATCATATGCTAAAATTTCTAGCATCATAATGCTAACTCTGTGGACATAGTGACTTGTAAACAAAATTAAAACCTTCTTATTTCTTTAGCATTGTGGCCTATTTTAGCATTAATCTTGTTCAACTTTATAAGGCTACTCCAAGCAGTGTGGGATCAGAAATCCTTACAATGCCATCTCCCTTGGACCACAATGGAAGATTTTCGGGGGGAAATCCCTCTTTCAGGGTAATCGCAACATATAAAATTTCCATGAATAACAGTATTCCTTCACACTGTATGAATATAATTTGTTTAATTCTAGGGTTTATTATATTGTTGCTGCCTGAAATATATGTCTCCAAAGCCTTCTTTCCTGATATGATTTGGGAAACTTCCTAAAAGGACCTCAGTAACTAGCAATAATGTTTACATTGTAGGTTTTAGGAAATATGAAGGCTTTATGCCTGGCACTGAATGAACACCAAAAAAATTTTTTGTTCATGCATTCATTCAATAACTATATTAACCACCTAGTGTGCTCAAGATGTCAGGGCTATCTAATGAACAAAAAGACCTCCCCGCCCTCACAAGGCTCACTTTCTAGTGAGGAAAGATGAACCATAAATAAACATAATCCTAGGTTATAGAGCATGTCAAAAACTGTTAAGGGTTGTGGAAAAAGGAATGTTAGAGCCAGGTAAGGACATGGAGATGACAATGTACACCCAGATCTTTGAGCAGCTGTGACTTTAGGTTCAAACTGTCACTCAGAAGATACCAAACACTTCACCCAGCACCAAGCGCTCTGTAGCAATACATAAATTCACTGTGCTTGCTTTTCTGCAATTCACAGTTATTGTACATTTTACAAATGGAAGGTTTGTAACAGCCCTGCCTTGATCAAGTCTACCTGTGCCATTTTTCCAGCTCTGATGATTGTTAGCATTTTTTAGCAATAAATTTTAATTATGGTATACACAATGCTTACTTACCCATCATGCTATTGTACACTGAATGGACTATTACATAGTGTAAATGTAATTTTTATATGCACTGGGAAACTAAAAAATTCATGACTCACTTTGTCACAATATTTACTATATTGCTGTGGTTGTCTGGAACTGAACCCACGCTATCTCCAGCGTGTGCCTGTGCTGAGCTTTAAGAAAGGACTCGGGACAGGCAACCAAAGAGCAGAGACAGTAGAGCAGATATCTCCTGACTTCCATGCCATTTGTAACTCCAAGGATTTGAGCCTGAACAATTGGATGGATGGCAGTATCATTAAGCCATATGGGGAAAGCTGGGCGTAGAGGTTTGTGAGGAGGATCAGGAGATACATTTTGAAGTATATAAGTAAGTTTTGAAATGTTTTGAGACATCCCAATGATGATGGTCAGGACATTTGAATCTGGATTTTGAAGAATGGTTTGGGCTGGAGATGTAAATATGATAGCTTTCAGTACACAAATGGTACTTGAAGCAAAAGAATGGACAAAATCGGCAATGGAGTGATTCTAAGTACAAAAAAGAACAAAGGACTGAGCATCCTTCAGTGCTCCAACCTTCGGAGATCTGCAGAAGAGTTAGAATCCAAACAGCACCCAGAGAGGGAGACACCAGAGGAGTAAAAGAAAGCCAAGTAAGGGTCAGGTATATGGTCCATGCCTAAAATCTCAGCTATGTGGAAGGCAGACGGGAGGATTGTGATTTGAGGTCAGCCTGACCAAAACCAAGCACGTTGTTATGCCTGTAATCCTGGTACTCAGGAGGCTAAAGCAGGAGGATCTTGAGGCTGGCCTGATCTACATAAAGAGCTTGTGGCCATCCAGGTCTACATAATGACACCCTGTTGCAAAAACAGCAAACAACAATAACAAACCTCACAAAACCTTAAGGAGAAGGATGGAAAAACAAACTGTATCGAATGTTGACAATGCTCAAGTAAAAGGAAGACTGATACTTGGCCACTGAATTTGACACCACAGAGGTTATTGGTGACATTAACATTTTTGTTGAGGCAATATGGGGAAGGCCAGTCTGCAGTGGGTTTAAAAAGAATGAGAAAAAAAGTAACCAGAAAGAATGAGTATGATATTCTTTTGAAGGGTTTTCCTTCAAAGGAGAGCCAGTAAATAAACACACAAATCAGTAAAAGCAAAATGGGGTGGGAGCTGACAAGGAAGTGGGGGGAAGAGTTTTATTTGAAAGAGTAGAAATATCAGGATCTCTCTATGCCAATAGGGATGATCCAGCAGGCAGGTGCAACTGCTGATGGAAGTCAGAAGAGAGGGATTGCTGAAGCAATGCCCATGAGTAGACAAGAAGTGAGGGGTGAGATGGGGTTAAATTTTTTTGAACATTTACTGTGTATTAAGCATCTTGCATGTCAAATAACAATCAGAATGTAACTTTCACTTATCCTAATTTTAAAAATGTAGAAATTGAGGTACAGAAGATTTGGTGAAATCAGGATGAAAACTCAGGTCTGCCAATTCTCATGCCTGTCCTTTTAACTACCCCATGCTGTCCCAGCATTCCCAGAAATCTGTTAGAGCATTTGTGAGGACTTTAATGGAATATATCTAGAAATTTAATAATTTTGCAAATACCAAGCATATGTGGGTATGTCTGTTCCATATTCCATGCACAGCTGAATATTTTACATTATTCAGATGATCATATTTTTTGGTATATGTCCTTGGAGAGTTTCTTAAAATATATCAACACAGATGGTTATAACAATTGCAAAATAATTGCATTTGGAAAGCCTCAATTTTTTGGTGTCAGTGAAATACAAATGTCTGGAAAGATATGATTTTGCTCATTTTATAGGAATCCACTTGACCGAGGCTAAGATTAAATCTCTGGTAACTTCATAATATTCAAATATCACTGAAAAATCTATACTTCTTGAAGTACTTTATTTTATCAGTTTTTTTCTTCTGGTGGTATTGGGGTTTGAACTCACAGCCTCATATTTGTTAGGCTTGCAAGGCAGGCGCTCTACCACTTAAGCCACTCTGTCAATGAAGTGCTTTATTTTAAAGCCATTATAAGTAAACTTATGTTGTAGAGTAATTTTGCATATGCTTTGATATCATTTAGGAATACTCCCCTTTTGTAAAATCCAACAATTTACATTCTAGCACAGCTGAATATTAGGAAGGACAAGCAATCAAGTTACATGCACTGGGAATTCTGCACAGAAATGGTAAAACCTTCAGTCCTCTCACCAGAGGGCAGAAATGCAGACTTTACTTTTTAGATGCAAAAAATTCAGAATTAATTATTCTATACAGAAATATACGCAATATATAGCCCACATACTTCTCTGATTTTTTAAACAGTGGGTTGAAATATTAAACTTTATTTCTTTTGATGAGTCAAGTTCAAAGCGAAGACCTGCAAAGCAACTCAGTTATCTCACTGTGACCATTCTTCTCTAAGTACAGTTGTTCCAAATTACTGTACTTGTTTGAATGACTTTTAAAACTTTTAGTTTGGGCTTGTTTCTTTATTTTCCTAGTTCTCTCAGATTCTTGGGTCATTATGTGCAAAATATTCTGACTGCCAATATA